AACTCTTAGTTTTTATACCCCACCCCTTCTCTTTTTTAAGACTGGTACAATCAAAAGGATCCATGAAATATTTTCAAAATATACAAAACATGCATTTTCCAGTTTTTTGATTACTGGCCAGATTTTCACATTTCAACTAAAAAAATTTCTACTGCATAGGTCCCTATGGGTGATTTCTACTGCCAAGGTGTTTAAGATTGTACTGTATTGCTATTTGTACTTCAATTTTTGTCAGAGAAAAGCAAAGTATATTTCACTGAAAACTTGTCTAAAGAGAACAATGACTAAAATGGGTTGGAGAAGAAAATGTACTGAAAGTCATTTGCAATGAAAATAAGCAAAAAGACGGGGGGGGGGTGCTGGAGAGGTCCTTTTAAAGTACCCCCAAAGCCTAAACGGCAATGAAGGGATTTCTCCTGCAGGTATTAATCAGATGCTGAGATCTCAGATATTAGCAATAGAAGGAACTTTCTGTCTCAACTGATACCCACATACACACAGGTAACCACGCTGGTTCAGAAAGGGTAAAGAGTCTTGTCCAAGTATCACAGCTAGTGAATAAGTGGCAGAGCTTGGACAGAACCAGGTCTCTTGAGTTCTGGGCCCTTGCTCAGGACTCCAGTGTCCTAGGTGGACATACGTGGTTTTCTAGAGCGTATGAGGTTTCTTACAGCTCTTCAATTGAAACTTAAAACTCACTTGAGAAAGCGAATTCAAAGATGCAAGTCCAGGGACTTTTTGGTCTCTGAAAAGACTTTCTATTTTCTTTTTTTGTTGTTGTCCTTTTTGAGACCAGCTGCACCGCGCTCAGGCAGTAAGCGCTGTGAGCGCACAGGTCATCCCTACATAGGATCCAAACCCGCGGCGGGAGCGCTGCCGCGCTCCCAGCGCTGCACCCTCCCAAGTGTGCCACGGGCTCGGCTCAAGACTTTCTATTTTCTAAAAAGCCCCAGACAAGTGGACACAAGTCAGCTGTATTCAGAGATCCAGTCGGGATTCCTTTTAAAGCGTGAATCACTCTGCTCTGCAGTATGTGAACTGAAGGATGAATGGTCTTAAACTGACGGCATCATATTCACATGGTAAAGGGCTGTGTATATAGATCCAGCATAGCATCAGGCACATAAAATACATTGGGAAAAAAAATTTGTAAACAAGATGTTGGGATTAACATTATCCTTTGTGTTCCAAGATGATGCAACAATAACTGCAAACATGCACAACTTTGGAAAATCCAAATCAGTAACTTTTATGATTTAAGGCAACAAAGAAAATTGACAGAGAAATAAACTTGAAAATATTCTTAAATGTGAGATAAAGGAATAAAAACACAAATAACATTTACAAATATCTTACAGAGAGAAAGGAAACAGAAGGTGAGTGGACATGAATCAAAAAGAAATTAAAAAGGTGTCATTGGAACTTTTAACCTTCCCATTGTGCAATTCACTTTAGCATGGTCAGAACAACCACCGCACTATTCCCACCAGCTGAAAATTTTTTCATCAGCCAAACTCAAAGTATCCATAAGCCTGATTAGAGCGCAATACGTACATAAATTACCATTAATGCTACAAAAATAAAACATCACCCATCCATCATGTATACATCCATCTTTTTAACTATTATCCCAGGTCAAAACAGCACAATCTTTAACCTTAACTAGAACCACAAATACTACCTGGAGTGACAAGTTTTACCATCAATCTTTTACTTTTTTCATGAATGATTTTCTCAGAAGTAATTTAAATCAAATGTGCATAGCTTTGGGTTGGCTGGTTAGCTCAGCTGGTTAGAGCACAGTATTATAACACCAAGGTCAAGGGTTTGGGTCCCCATAACATCAGCTGCTAAAAAATTTTTTAAATGTGTACAGTTTTGTCAAATTCACTATTTTTTAAAAAATCTGTTCATAGTTCACCTCCCAGTGAACATTCTGGAGTAACAGGAACTGTCTCTGTAGTAGCATTGATGAAACCCAAAACTAAGTTTTCTAAGTCAAGGGTCCTTCCAATTCAACAAAGAAGATGGTGAAAAAAGAAGAGCTAACTTCTGTATCTGGCCATGGACCCCATTACCACATTACCACAGGCAACTGTCCTAAAGATGTGTGCCTGATCACACATGGCTGATCAATCCAATCAGCCATCTTTTCTTCTGGAAAAGCAAAGGAAGGAGCAGATGCCACCACTAGTAGGGACATTACTTCTATATCCTGAAAACAGCCTGTACTCAGATGCACCAACTATAGATACAGGCTTCCCATCTCTGGTAGTTATGTAAACTTCGACTAATGGTTCCATTCGGTGTAGCTAGAGTTCTTGGCTACACAAAACGGAGTTGGCTGTTTTGGTATAATAGAGTATACCTAACACTCTCAACAAGCCCTGCCCTGTTGTGTTGGGCTCACATTCCAGCTCTGTAACTGGTTTGCACTCTGAACCTCAATTTCCTCAGTGGGAAAATGGGGGTAATAATATCTCCTGTCAGAGCTATTTTAAGCAAAATATTCAGTTCAGTGCCTGGCAAAAAGTAAGGGTTCAATGAAAGTTGGTCTACTTCCCACTGACCTCTCTGCTCAGAATACTTCTTGCTCATCCTCTACAGTCCTGGGTCAAAATCTACTTTTAAAAATCCCCTTAAATAGCATAACTAAGTATAACTTAATATTGTCTAATTTATTAAAATCTGTGTGTGTGTGTGATAGTGTTTAATATCCCAAATTTAATCTTGCCTTTCAAAATATGGTCTACAGATCAGCAGCATCAGCATTACCTGGAAATATGTTTGAAAGGAGGATTCTCAGGCCTCACCACAGACCTACTGAATCAGAATTTATAAGATCCCCTAGTCTTAAAGTTTGAGAAACACTGTTCTGTAACACACACCGACAATAAATCTAAGTTTATCGATTATCTAACTAAGGAATCAATTGTGACACTTCTGTTGATGGTGGTTCTCTATGAATCTTTATTCAGGTAGAAAGCAACTATTGACTACAACATTTTCATTAGGCGGACAAGATAATTGCAAACTTCTTACTTTGTGCCTTTTGAGTATAAAAATAATGCACCAAGTACACTGGCTTCAAAGCAATATTTAAATCTTCTATATTAATGCAACCTTTGCTATATATAATAGGTGCTTTGAATATAATAAGTTGTTGGGAAAATAGAACGATTTAATCAGGCCATCTCGCCTCAGGGCCGGTTGGGGGTGGTTCAGTAAGCAAATTGGGGGGGGGGGGGGATGGAGTTAGTGCGCATGGGTGGTGCCACCTTGGCTGACTAGGCCTCCGGCAACTGCCAGACAATCAGCCATGTCTTTCCAACCTGCAGCTTACAAGGATCTGTTTGCCAGTTACCTAACTCATAGACCTGCGTGTAAGGGCTGTGGTGACCAAGCAGTGCATGTGAGGGGTCTGGGGACCCAGCCTGGTGTGTAAAGGGTCTGTGAACCAGTCTGGACAATGGGCTTGAGGGGTCTGTGAGCTCCAGACCCAGCCCTAGCTCGACAATTGGCCCAGGTGGCAGGATTACCAAGCAGGTAAAAGAACCCGACAACTGGCGTAGTCACGGAGCTTTACATAAGTAATATGAGCATTCTGATTACATATAAACTAATTAAATAACAGTTTAGAAGGATACTTTCAATGTAGTAATTTCTGGTTTCTAGGACAATATGTATAACAGATTGATTAGTAAAAAGCTTTCACAAATTGAATGTTCAACAGAGATGACAAGGTTCTAAAGCATATCTTTGTTTCTAATGTATTCTGTGATTCTGTGCACATGCCTTTCCCCCTTGAATCAGCTTTCTGAAAATTCTTAGTTCTTTCCAGTTATTCATGAAAGAACAATTTTTAAGGCCCCTGAAAGTAAAATCTACCACCCAAATTCCTAAAATGAATCACCAAAAGCTGGATGAGAGAGACTGATAACTTTGTGTACCAGGAAACAAAAACCAGTCTGAGTGAGTCATCTCTGTGATCAAAGATACACAGCCACAGCCAGGGCTTGGCGCAAACAAATGGTTACAGCAATCACATGCCAGAATCTCGTGTTTAATGGTTTTTCATATTAAAATGCATAAGTCAGCTCTATGAAACCGGGAAGTGGAACCCTGGACACCACATAAATAACAAACACTCTCTCTCAAGTTTGGTTTTCTTATGCTTCTGCTCCAAGTCCATTTCAATTTTCGGCAGATACATAAAAATGAAGGTGTTATTTTGTTAAGAGGTAAGCAAACAGGTAAATGGTAACTAATATAATATAGATCTGAAATGTTTCATAAGAAAATTTTAATACTTTTGGAGGGCTACTTCTTGAGGCCTTTGATCTGAAATGAACAAGGAGACCAGAAGGTGGCAGATGCCTGAAGAAATGTAACATAGGAAGTGGTAATAGGCTCTAGAAGCAGAAAAGTCTGTTATCATCTTATTCCCATACTCTATATTCATGGCTGTTTTTCAGATACTCCAAGCTTGAAAGAGAAGATGAGTGGGAACTTGTGTCACATGGCACTGCCATCTACATGCTACCTCCTGCACTCCCTAGCAGACTCCTCTGGAGTGAAGATCCAGATGTCCTTATGTCCTCTTGAACCCCTGAATAGGGGGATATACACCAGGACCAAGCTTGCCCCATGCTGGTCAGGCTCAACACAGGGATAATGCAAACACCCCAGTTATATTTTTCAAAAGTGGTACCTCCCATCAACACCACATGCCCATTTGCCGGCAGTGCTCCAAGGAGAACATTACTTTACTTACACACAGGTTCTAATGTGTTCCTGCACTTGTGATCTAAGCACCTTCATCTGCAACCCTGGAGACCAGCTGGGGGTAATGGCAATAAGCCCCAGGCCCCTGCCTTTAAAAGACCCCTCCCAAAGTAAAAAAAAAAAAAAAATCTATTATAATTTCTGAAATAAGAACAAGATAAAACACTCCCATAAAGCCCCCATGCCCACCCCTACTATTTCCATACAGCATGACACTACCTCATAATGAAGGGAACAAAAGGTGCCATGCTGAGGGCAGAAGAAGTGCCATCCATTGGGGAAGGGTAGAGCCTCTCCAACACCAAAAGTAAGAGAAACATGTTTGGATGATGACTTGGATCTCCCACATCACTAAAAAAAAAAAAAATTGTACATAGAAGATTTAAAATTTAAGAAATGACATACTATCTTCAAACATCTTTTTCTCATTAAATAATTACATTTATGAAGTAAGACTCTACAATTAAGGGCAGAGTTTTCCTTTTTGGCAGGGGGTCTTTTCATTCACTTCATATCTTCCTAATATACATCATACGGAAAAACTACTGGTAAAGCTGGCGACTGGACTTCTGCACACAATCCTCTTCACAAAGCTAATCATTTGCTTAATTAGAGTCTCCTGTTTTGATTAGAGCTGTTCATACAGTAGAGAGGTGCCTGTTCTAGAGCACAAAATGTGAAACTTTCAACATCCAAATCAATTTCAGAAAGCATGATCAGGCAGTCACTTACTAGGGCCAGAAAAGCCTGTTTGCACAAATTACTAATGTGAGGAAATATATCATAAACAGAAGTAAAATTTATTGATATATTTTTCCATCACAGACAATTAGTACACATTCAAACAAAGTGCAAAAATTGCTGGAAGAACACGCAGGAACATGTTCTAAGATGCCCATACTAAAAATTCTACCACCTACAGCATATAAAGGACAATGGTGAACTTATTCTATCTGCCCTGGTAAGACTGAAAGCCCTTGTAATGGCTTTGTTTTATGTTTCCACGGTCACTGGCCATTTTTGCTCAGGTGGACCTTTTCTGATCACAGGTGACCAGATTAGTCAGCTAACTGTTGTAGTTTCACAATGGTAAGCTGCAACAGGCCAGAAATAAGAAATTATAGGTGTGCATTAAACAAAATCAATATGTAAACACACAGATTTTAAAAAAATAATAGGAAGAAAATAATTCTTAGAAGAAATCACCTCGTGCCAGGTGACCAGATTAGTCAGCTAACTGTTGTAGTTTCACAATGGTAAGCTGCAACAGGCCAGTAATAAGAAATGATAGGTGTGCATTAAACAAAATCAATATGTAAACACACAGATTTTAAAAAAATAATAGGAAGAAAATAATTCTTAGAAGAAATCACCTCGTGCTTCTAAGACCCTAGTTCCTATATAACACTGAAAACAATTAAACTTGATAAAATGTAATATAAAATAGGATTTTTAAAATATAAAATATAATATAAAAACATGATTTTATACAACCTTTCAGATACAAATCTACATGAAGCACCTTTAAAAAAGTCATCTGTGTTAGAAGGAAGGAATTTATTAAAAGCTGTTGCCTAAAGGGAAAATCTCAATTAATAAATCAATTCACACCCTTGATTTCACTTTGCCCCACCCTATTCTCTTCTTACCTGTCCAGTGTACTGGCTACAGCTTCCAACTGTTTGAGAAGAAAGGGATACAGTTCTGGGAAACGAGAGAAAAACTCTCTTCCCGTCATTCTGTGGAGGGAGAAAAAAATAAAGATGAATTACCATCATTTATTTCTTCTGATCTTATAATAAAGTCCTTTTTAAAGAAATGAAAATAACTACGGTCATTTGTTTGGATATTTAATGAAATAAAGTTTAAAAAACAACAGCATCTTAAGAATTTAACAATAAATAGAAATGATACATATAATTTTGATTTTGGAAGTGCTCTTAATGCATGGACTTTTATCTCAAAATTTAAAATTATGTATGTTTATAAATATTTGATATTAAATTCTGTCAGGGAAGAAATATGTAATTTATGAAAATGCCAAGTTTCCACACTTGCTTTGAAGTATGAATACAGTCAACACCTGATTGACTGATACTGACTTAGCTTCAGTGATAAGGGCGGGTCTAGAACAAGGTTTCTCAACCTTGGCATCCATGACATTTTGGACCTGGAAATTACTTGTTTCAGGGAGCTGTCCTATAGAATGTAGGATGTTTAGTAGCCTCCATGGTCTCTATCCACTAGATGCCAGTAGCATAATATCCCTCCTCCCAATCATGACAACCCAAGTGTCTCCAGACATTGCCAAATCTACCCTGTGTGACAAAATGGCCCCTGATTAAAAAACCACTGGTCTGGAGTATGGTTATCAGAAGTACAGAACTGGCATGTGAGGGTCTAAAGATCCAATACCAGCTGACACCTGTAAGGATTACCTTTTCCATCTTTATAAAAACTACTCTTGAACTCTGCCAAGGTCCTAAAAATAGTTTTTCAGACGCCACAACTGACCCAAAAGCTCCAGCTAAATATAGCATTTAGAAAAATATTCTGTCTCCATAACTATTAAAGAACTACTCTGAAGGGGTGGCATAAATATTCCCTAACCTGCCCACTTTTATTAACTCAAGATGAATGATTCTAATAACAGACCCAGAATACCATATTTTTTGAAGTTGAAGTATATTTTACACACAGCAAAATGCTCAGAACTTAAGTGTATCATTCAATCCACAAATGCATACACTCATGTAATCCACACCCCTACCAAGACTCAGAAAATTTCCATCATCCCATAAAGTTCCCTCGTGCCCCTTCCCAACCAACTCCTGCCTCCACTAAGCAACCAATGATGTGATTTCTATCACCACAGTTTGGTTTTGTCTATCCTAGAATTTCATGTAAATGTACTAATGCAGAACATAATTTTTTCTGTCTGGCTTTTTTCACTCGACATAAAGTTTAAGACATTTATCCATGTTATTCGATGTATCAATAGCTCTTTTTCTGTTGATTAGTATTCTACTGTATAAATACACACATTTATTCATTCATTCTCCTCTTGACAAACATGGGCTAATTCCATTTTTTGGCTATTATGAATAAAGCTGCTGTGATCATTCTTGTACAAGGTTTTCTGTAGACATAAATTTCATTTCTCCTGGATTAATATTTGAGAATAAAATTGCAATATGTTTAACATTTTATAAAACTGACAGTTTTCCAAAATAGTTATACCATTTTACACTCTCAACAACAATAAGTGAAGAGTGCTGGTGGCTCTATACCCTTTCTAACATTTGCTCGTCTTTTTTCTTTTTTTCCCCCATTTTAGCCATCCTTGTAGGTATTTAATAGTATCTCCTGGTGATTTTGATTTGCATTTCCTCGATGACTAACAATGTTGAGCATGTGCTTTGGTCATCGGTATGGCCTTTTGTGAAGTATCTTTTCAAAATTTTTGCCCATTTTAAAAATACGCTGCTTTTTTCCTTTTGTCATACATAAGCAATGGATATACCTTCTCCTAGGCTGTGGCCTGTCAACTTTTTTTTTAATTGATCCATGACAATTATATATATTTATGGATTTTTTAAAATAATGTCTTTTGATGAGCATAAGTTTAAAATTTTTGATGAAGCCCAATAATTTACCAATTTTTTTCCTTTTATAATTCATGCTTTCTATGGCTTAAGAAATCTCTGCCTACCTCAAAGTCATAAAAATATTCTTTGTTTTCTTCTGGAAGCTTTATGGTGTTAGCTTTTATGTTGAGGTCTATCATCCATCTCATGTTAATTTTTGTGTATGGTGTGGCATAGGGGTCAAGATTCTTTTTTTCTACATTGGTATTCATATTTTTAACATGGAGATGCCATAAGAAAAGATATGGCCTTAAACAGGAGAGATGTGCTATGTTCATGGATTGGAAGATTCAATATTATAAAGATGAAATCCTCCCCAAATTGATTATAAATACAATGCAATATCAATGAAAACTGTGATTGTGTGTGTGTGTGGATGTATGTGTGTAAGTGACCTGACAAGCAGATTCTAAAATGCATGTAGACACATCAGGGCCAACAGTAAGAATAGTAATGATTATCTTAAAGAAAAACAAGACTGGAGGACTCACCTAATCAGATAGCTAAAAACGTAATAAAACTTAAGTAATTAGGATACTGTGGGGACACATAAGACAATAAAGTAGAATAGAGAGCACAGGAACAGACACACACACACATATATCAAAACTCAGTTTGTGAAACAGCTGGTACTACAGAGGATAGAGAAAGTTGCTCTGGTAACTGATTATTCACACAGACAAAATTAAGATTGGATCCCAATCTCCCACTATACACAATATTGAATTCCACTGAATTTAAGTCTTAAAAACAGCATAAAGAAAAATACAAAATAATAAACACATAAAGTTTTTGACTTATTTTGAAAATTTGGGATTCTGCCCTGACCATCTCTGGCATGATGATTCTTTCTTTCCCTTAATGACAATCCCAGGCAACCTCGTGGGTGTGTCCTCCATGTGGCAGTCCAGTTAAAGGGTGTACATAAGATTCAAACTTAATTTTGTTCAGCCATCTGGATTCTCACAGGACTGGCCTGGTCCTAAATCATATGATAATGACTACTTGTTTGAGTACACTGCTTACTGAGTCTTCCTAAGGTGGCCCCTGTGGGCCAAAGTGGGAGATATAAAATACCTTGTCCCTCTTGCACCTGACCCTTCCAGACAAAAGATCTGGTTGCAAGTAGCAGGTAATTGGGAAAAAGGTGAAGTTATAGCTACTGAAATGGGACAATTAATTTTGTGGCAATAGAGGTAGGAACATTAATGGTCCCTGTTTTTTGAAATTGCCTCTAGAGCCTTCCTCACCAAAGAGCATACTCTGCTGTAGCTCTCCCAAACTGTTGTGAGCAGATTAAATTTAACTAACTGCTGGGTTTGTCATCCTCCATCAGATGGCCCTAAGCACAATTGGACTGCCTTTCCCCTTAACCTTAGTAAGAAGTCTATTAGAAACTGCAGTGGCCTTGGCTCTAGCACCCGACCATTCCATGCAAAAAAACCTGTCAGTACCTCTGGATGTCTTCCCCTTTTTGGTGGCCTTCACTCAGTCACTGCACACGGGAGGTCAGGCTGGCATGACTGCCCTCAAGCAGTCCCTCCAAAACCAAGGACTAGAATCAATTACTTGGACTGAAGTGGGAACTTTAAAGTTTACCAAGTGGTTGTCAGGCCATGTTGGAGGCACTGTCAACATATGAGGATACTTCAAAAAGTTCATGGAAAGAGTCATGTTATCTTTTAATTTTATTTTTCCATGAACTTTTTATGTACCCTGGTATTCTCCTCAACTGATACGGGGAGCTCCAAAAATTGCTAACAAATGCTTTCTTCTCAGGGGCACCATGTGTGCCCTTGGGACTTCATTTCTTTGATGAAAGCAGGCATTAACTACTCCCTCCTCAAAACATGGTGACTTGCACCTTAGGGGTAGCTGTAAGAGACTTTCAAATGTTTAAGGAAATACCACCAGGAGATCATCTAGCCCTCAGATGACAATACAGATCTCTCCAAAATGAGGCTATGCTTGGTTCTTTAAAGAAGCTTCCCGGAGGTACAAGCAACTCATTATTTTTGTACACTCTGTGGTTGGTTATTCCTACTACAAGAGTCACCCAATTAGAAAAATGTGTCAGCTGACTTTAACTGAAGTAGACGTTGACAGCACCTCAGTCCAGAAAGCCATTCAGGTCTGCTTCAAGTCACAGGACAGGGCTGTTATGGATGAAGAACTATCCTAGACTTCCAATTTACAGTTAAGATGAAGCATGTGCATCACAATACATTTTGCTGTACTTGGATTAATGCCTTGGTCTAAGTGGAAAGTTAATAGAGAACATTCAAAACCTGCTGGTGTGCATCACAATACATTTTGCTGTACTTGGATTAATGCCTTGGTCTAAGTGGAAAGTTAATACAGAACATTCAAAACCTGCTGGTTTATGAGATTTGTACAAGTGATTGGATTTGAGATGCTGGGGAGACATGGTTGGTGCCAATACTAAAAGTTGGACTTATCCTGCTGCTTGAGTTGTGTTGGTAATTAATCTTAAATAAAGGTTGTGTGAGACAAACTAAATGAATTTGGTCTCAACTTGTCAGTCAGATTAATCAAAGGGTCTGACAGCATGGCATACTAGTGGGAAAATTCACCAGAAGTTAACAAAGTTTAGAAATAAAAGATGGATGTTGTTGACAGACATGTCTCCATGAGTTTTCTCACATTACTGCACATCTTGCAAAAGTGAAGCACTAACTACCCTTTGTTCTAGACTCTGCTCAAGGACTTGTGTATAATGATCACCCTTAGAAGATTTGCTCACCCTCTGAAGCAAAGGGCAGATATGTTTACTGCCCATTATAAAAGATTCAGGTTCCCTAACTCTGAGTTCTTCTCCTGTAAAGCAACCCACTGCATATACGGGTATCATCTGTCCCTCCTTACACTGCCCTGTGGGCACTGGAGCTCAGGACACTGGCACAAAATTGCTGATACTCTACCTATTTGTACTACTGTAACATACTGCCCTTCATCTCTGACCCTAGGTATCTTGTGTCTCCTACCATCTATGAAACTATGTCAAGCTAATTTATCAGCTTGCAAGTAGGGTAAAATCTCAGACCCTTCCATGTTCTGGACAAGGGGGTCAT